TCCTATGTTCCTCTAGGAACTAAAGGATACAATAATAATAATAAATTATATATATATATATGAGTACAAATCATAAATGTGTGAATAAAACAATTCCAACAGTGGTGTGTACACGGGCAGTAATTTTGCTCGAAATATTACCAATAACAAAACTTATCATTGTGTGTAAACTATTGAAATATAATTATACTTTATTTGATCTAATCCACAATGCTCAAACTTTTTACCGATATTAATTGAAAAAAGGAGTTTACTTTTAACATGATTTCTTGATATTATCTAATAAAATCACAGGAAATTTGAAGGAAAGAGTAACATATAGCTCTTCTGTCCAACATACTATCATACGTAGATTCCATTGATATATGTATGCCTAATCTCTTGTAACTGTAGACTACTGATTGATTAAGACGAGTTGTTGGTTATATAGGATTCGCATTGACCAGCAGTGCTTGTTAGCTAGATCCAAGTGGTTACCCCAGTTACTCGTAAGAGCTCACCTCCTTCCAGCACACTCACCTAATATCACCCTCAAAGTGGTGCCTTACTCTCTGTGTTTCAAATTCGAGTTCTGCTCGAGGACCTGGATGGCACGTGATGCTAATCAACCGTCTGATAAGCGTATATCCAATCCATGTACATTTCCTTCTACAAATTTGCTAAGCAATAGGTTCTTGGTTGTTTCGCTGCTTGTGACAGAGTTGTTTGTTCGTAATTCTTCTCAACCGACCACACACTGGACAGCTGTTCCACCCTGGTTTAAGACTATTTGTCAGTGAGCATCCACCACCCTGCCCGTCAAGAGTCGAACCCATGAACCTTCAAGTTACAAGGCCGAATTCGTTGGTCACCCAAAGGCATCGACTTACGATAGCGCCAAATTAAGCACGAGTTGACAATGTTAAAGTTTACAGGTCACAATGAATTCCGCCCCAAGTGGTTGAATGGTCCTCATCGAGGTTAGACTGGTAACCTGAAAATCGCGGGTTCAATCCCCGCCGCAGACTTTCGAACTAAGAGGAAACAGCTGTCTAATATGCTCCCTAGTTTCCAATGATCTCTCTCTCCCTCTCTTTCCAGACGATGGTGGTTCGTGACAAAATCTGCGAGTATATTGATTTAAATAGCATGAACATTGGCTTACCAACTGATTATCTTAAACGACTATTTTTGAGATGCACACTGAATGTGCAATTTAGATTTAATGAAGTCATCTACAATCAAAGGGATGGAGTCGCCATAGGGTCTCCTTTAGGACCGCTCTTAGCGGACGTCTTTATGGTAAGCTTTTAGAATGGCCCACTAAAGGAAACCGTCGACAGTTTGTTTATGTATAAAAGATATATTGATGATACCTTCACTGTATGTGATGAAAACTCTTCAACTGCCGAACTTCTTGGAATATTCAGTGGTTCTCACCCATCTTTGCTTTTCACGGTCGTAGAAGAGTTGAATTCCTCGTTTCACTTTCTTGATATTAAGCTAGATAGAAGAGAGAATGGAACGCTATTAAGGTCGATTTACCGAAAGCCAACATTCACTCGTCAGTAAACTCACTTCAACAGTTGGGTACCTATAAGGAAAAAAGATAAATCTTATTCATTCCTTATGCTCCAGAAATCGTAAAATCTGCTCTACAGATACAATCGATAGGGAACTAGATAACCTTCGATCAAATCTCCTTAACAATGGTTATCCTACAAGGTTTATTGAACCTTACATCAAGAAAGACAAGACAAATCACAGTACCAAAGAAAAAGCTGTTTATGAGTCTTGCATTCAAAGGTGACACCATTTCAGAATTGATTAAAAATTGTTTATCTAAATGTATTAAACGCACTTTTCTTGCAGCTGACTTACAGCTAGTTTTTACCAGCCAAAATATGATTAGACAATGCGTCAAGGATAGATTACCACTTTTGTCCACATCTATGTGCATTTACTCCTTTTACCTGCTCTTGTGGAGTTGATTATATTGGACGTTGTAAGCATACACTCTCCAAAAACGTGTAGCTGAACACTATCCGGTTTGGTTAATGAAAGGCGAATGTAGAACTGCGAAGTTGTCTATTTGTGATCACCTGTTAGAGTCTGGTCATTTAGCCCCATGTGATTCATCTTTCAAAGTTAAATACATGGCAAAATCGAATCGATCCAAAAGTTTACGTTTTCTTCACTTATGCATAGCCGAAGCTTTAGCTATACATGAACAGAAACCTAAATTATGTGTTCAAAAACGTTTTTTCTTTACCTTGGTCATAGTAATTTTCTTTCTAGTTTTTATTTTATTTTACCACTTGAATTCAATCCACTTCACTTTGCATCTTCATTCCAATCGCAATCGTACTCCTAATTTTTTAAAAATTTTAGAGAACATTCGACATTTTTGATATCAAGTCACTTATAAAACAATCTTTAATAATTTTGTAATTTATCCACTTCAACTCTACCACTTATAACAGTTTAATTATCGTTATTCTTATCACTTACATATATATGTATATTGACTGAGCAATTAATTTAGTGCCACTTAATAACCTTTATCTGTAATATAAATACGACAACTGTACAGTTGGCTTGAAAATGAAGTCATTGAAAAGAAATTTCTTCGCTGAACAAAAAAGAAACTGTCAGTGTCAAAATGTCAATGGGGTGATAATTAACGATGAAAAATTAATATGTATAATTAAAAGGTGGAAATGGTTACAACAAGTGGATTGCATAATGCATAATTTTGGAAAAATGAAGAGCAATTAAGGAATAAGCGTGTGCACAGGTTGATTACGTAACAGATTGTTAAAGAAAATAAAACAATTTGGACAATGATAATTTGTAACTAAGGATGAAGTGGTCATAAGATTAAAATAATTTTCACAAGGATAACACGTAATTAAAGATGAAGTAGTCAGAAAAATAAAATAACTTGGACTATTATTGGTTTTTAAAAAGAAAAAATATTTTAGTGGGAGAGGGATGAAGTAGTCCGGTTTATACATTCATGTAACGCTGATACCCAAGGTAAGGATAGTGGCTGTACAAATTTCTTCTGAACACACAAGTTTGGCCTCTTCAGGTGGATTCCTATTGCTTCAGCTGTATGTAGAAGACGAACTCGTAAAGCAAAATTAAGATTAGTAGGAATGCGATAAATAATTTTAAATGCTGTATTAACATCAACCTTATGCTCACTATCTACAAGGTGGGCTAAAATAGAGCTACGAATAGATTTTGTTTGTCCCTTGCTTAACCATGCCGGATGATGTTCGGAAATACGATGATGAACCTGCCTAATTGTTCGCCCGATGTAGCTGGCTCCGCAGCTGCAGTCAAACTGGTAGATACACATAGAAGAGGAGAATTTAGGTAGTTTATCCTTATTACTCGAACGTAGGATAGGTGTGGTTGTGAAAAGACAGCGTACCTCTGCTGCATGATAAGCTCTTTTAACTGCATTCTTCAGGCGCCGAGTTATTATTTCGCTGATGTTGTCACCGAGGAACTGTTGCCATACCGACTCTCCTAGGTGCTGAATTCATATACTTTTCTCAATGAATTTATCTGGCTAACCATTTTTTCTAAGTAATTCTCTAATAATCTTAAGCTCCTCATTGAGGCAGTCGTCTGAACAGATTAACCTAGATCTATGAACAAGACACTTTACCAGGTTACGCGTTTATATTTCAAAGGTACAAAACTCAAAAATCAGTGTACTGACCTGTTGTTGTAGGTTCCCTATACACATTCCTTCTTAGTGTGCCATCTTATTTCCTTGCCATAAAGACGTCTAGGAATGAGAAACTGTTATAACTTTCTTTCTCTATAGTAAAGTTTATTGCTGAATGTGCATCATTAAACTTGTCAGGGTTGTTCATTGCGTCGTCCTCGTTTTTCATGACCAGAAATGTATCATCCACATATCGACAGTAGAAATCCAATTCACTAATTCCTCCTTTCAGCAGTCCATTCTCTAACTTAGCGAGGAAAAAATAAACTAGGATTGGACCTAATAGGGAACCCATAGCTACCCCATCAATTTGTCTGTAATATTCCTTATTGAATAAGAAATGAACGTTCATTGTACATCTTAAAATAAGTTCCTTCAAGGTGGATACAGAAATGCCGATGTCTATGTTTCGTGTAGTAATCTCCTCACATATAAAATCCACTGTCTCCATTAACGGTACATTGGTGAACAAGGAGGATACATTAAAAGATATCGGTGGCACAGTGGTTAGGACTCTCGCCAACCATGCACATGGTCCGGGGCTCGAGCCCACGCCGACGCACACCTGATATCTATGGTCGGCCTGCGAATTTTGGCTACCGATATCCACGCTGAAAATTCCACACTTGTCCCAAAACGGTGTGGAATCAAGCTGTAATCAAAAATAAAAAATAAAAATAAATCATAAACTTGTCCATCACATCAAGATCTCTTATTTTTCCAACAAATTCAAAACTGCCATTTACGCTATGCTTCAACCAAGTCATTATGCAGAGGTTTCAGGAGCTTCACTAACTATTTTGCTGTTTCATGATATAGGGAATTACACATGTCTAACACTGGTCGAAGTGGTAAACCAATTTTTTTGCACTTTTGGAAGTCCATATAATCTTGGTGTAATCGTGCCAATAGGCTTATTCCTTAATTGCTCTTCATTTTTTCCAAAATTATGCATTTTATGCAATCCACGTGTTGTAACCATTTTCACCTTTTAAAAAAGAAACTGTGTTTTTACTTATGTATAAATGGGTATTTCTCGTGCTACAAAATCTAATCCCCAAATATTCCACAATCTAAATACAGAACAGCAATTGTAAGGAAATAAATATGGTATCTTTATTTATATACAAAATGGAAAAGTAAAGAGAAAAGTTCTGTAAAGAAATGATGGCAGGATTTGATCTAAAAATGAAGACAAACGTGATTACTATTCACTCTAATACTGAAAGCGTCTCATAAGCCATGAGGAATATGGCTGGCGGAAAAATAAACCGCAGAGAAAACGAATTACATCATAACAGTGACTAGAGAGGGCATAAACAGAAACAAAAGAGGAAAAAAGAAAAAAGATGGTGGCAGCTTAAACTTTTGTCGCTAAACCAACCTCTTCATAATCTCTTTCCAGTGCAGCTAAATCTTCACGTGCAATATTGAATTCATTCTCTTCTAGACCTTCACCAACATACCAATGAACAAAAGCTCGTTTATGATACATCAAATCGAATTTCCGATCAATTCTAGCAAAGGCTGTAGCTATCGCTGTACTATTCGCTAGCATACAACAACACCGTAGGACTTTAGCTAATTCTGATCTTGGTACAGCTAACATTGGTTGTGCATTTATGTCGACTTTAAATCCAGTTGGACACCAATCAACAAAACGTACCGACCGTGAAGCTTTCACACCTTGAATAGCTGTATTCACTGAATTTGGATCAACATCACCACGATAGAGCATACAAATAGCCATATATAAACCTTGACGTGGATCTACTTTTACAAAACTATGCGCTGGTTCAAAACACGCCCTTGTGATCTGGTCAACACTATTCTGTTCATGATAGGCTTTCTCAGCTGAGACAACAGGATTAAATGTTATCAACGGGAAATGTATTCTTGGATAGGGAACTAAGTTGGTCTGAAATTCCGACAGATCACCATTCAATGAACCATGAAATCGTAATGCCGCTGTCAGGGAACTAATCACTTGTGCCAGTATTCGATTAATATTAGTAAACGATGGACGGCGTATATTTAAATTTCGTCGACATATATCCCAGACAGCTTCATTGTCCATAAGAAAGACAACTTCAGAGTCTTCAATGCATGCATGTGTAGCTAGTACAGAGTTGTATGGCTCGACAACAGAACTAGCCAACCTTGGAGCTGGATACACAACCAACTCAATTTTAGTACTTTTACGATAGTCCATTGTCATTTGATTAATTAGAGAGGAAGCGAAGCCTGACCCGGTACCACCGCCTAATGAATGAAATATAATAAAGCCTTGTAGCATACGACAAGTCTCCACAACTCGTCTAATCTGATTCATAACTAAATCTAACATCTGTGAACCGATGGTGTAATACCCACGAGCGTAGTTATTCGCCGCATCTTCTTTACCGCTAATCAAATTCTCTGGATGATATAATTGGCGGTAAAATCCTGTACGTATTTCATCTGTTTATGAGAAGCGAAAATAAGGAAAAATAGGACAATTAGAAAATTAAAGAATTTAAAAAATTGTCGAAAATTATTAAAATTCATGGATAATTCCCATCCAGACATTAATGAAAACAAAACACGTAGTTCAGTGAAGAGTCTCTTTTCGTCGGCGGCGAATTCATTTTCTTAGCTGTACAATCACAAATATATGTGTGGGTTATTTTGTATGTATGTGTACATTAAATTTGTCAAACAAAATTACAATTGGTTATGGTTATTTTAACTAAACAGGTGATTGCTTAAGTGAAAGATAAGCTACCTAGCTGTGCCACTTCTATGTGTATCTACAAAATTTAGTTGCTCCTACATAGGGCGAACGACTAGACAGCTTAACAAACGCATTATTGAGCATCTTCCTTCATGGTTCGTAAAAGGTCAAATAAAATCTATAAGAAGTTCTATTTTGTCTCATTTGACTGATCATAGCGATCACCAAGTAGACAGAAGAAGTGCCTTCAAAGTTATCTATCGCATTCCATCGAGCCTTTCGAACGGAATTCGAACTCCTCCCCTTTTACGCATAGCCAAAGCAATGGGAATTCGAGAGGACAATCCTAGTCTTTGCATACAGCAAATGAAGTTTGTTCTGCCTTTATCTCTCCCTTGCCTGGCCTAGGTGAATTCTATTCAAAACCCTCCCACCCTTTCTTATTTTCCATCTCCTTCGTATTTTTATGATATTTATTTAAACTCTGATAACCTATCTGTCCATTTCACCTTTAGTATTACGTATCCAGGCAGCTAGCCCGTGTTTCAAATACGAAATAGACTTATTAGAAAGGGTGCAAAGAGTAGGAACTAAGCTAATAAAGGGTTTCTCAACCCTGTCATATGAGGAGAGGTTAAGTCGACTGGGTTTATTTCCACTGTCATACAGACGACTAAGGGGTGACCTAATACTAGCATACCGTATCCTAAGAAATGACTTTGGAGCTAATTTATCTAAATTATTTCTTCCTTCTAGCACCAACCAATTGCGAGGACATCACCTCAAGGTTCAAAAACCACGGTCGAATCGTCTGCGTCTGGAAATCCGTTTTTCGTATCGAATTGTGAACCATTGGAACTCCCTACCGGAACACGTCGTATCAGCGCCATCCGTTGATTCATTCTAGGCGAGATTGGACCTCCTGTGTGCAATAAATCGAAAGGATTAACACAGGCATATAGCCTACTATCCTAAATAAATTGTAAACTGTAAACTGTAACTTAAGATTTGACCTAACTTATATATTGAATTGTCTACATGTACACATATTACTACCTTTGTTATTCTTATGGCCACCTGAACAGATCTATTATCGTTATTTTGTTATCATTATAATCATCGTTATTAACTACGTTCAAAACATTTACCACATTATTATTATTATTATTTGATCCACAAAATTGTTGTCATTGGTTAAAATTTTTATAAATCTATGTAAATTAGAGTGAGGCCTGAAGATCTAATTGAAAATAGCAATATTGTTCGCTTATATATCTTGTTCTAAACAGGTGAAGATTGGTAACTGGAGTTACGTGATACAAAATCGGTCAAGGAAATTGGGTGTTAATGAAATTAGGGTTGTAACAAAGGTGATGAGTTGTCACAAACAGTTGTTAAAAAAGAAGTTATGTAGTAATAATATGAATAGTTTAATGAGTGAGTTTTACTCAGGACAAAGTAGAGAATACGAAATTAAGTAAGAGATCTAAATGAGTGCAAAAATTATAAGCGATTAAAGAAACAAGCAAACGAGCGAAATTGAGTCATCAAAATCAACAAAGTTGTTACCATGATAGTAGAAGTGGTTGAGTAATTCTCTTTTGTATCCACAACTCCGGTTTTCCTATGCGGAATGGCCAGAGCTTCAGCGACACAAGGAGGATGAAACCGTATTGCCTTTGATAGGTTATTGTTGACTCTGTAGATTACTTTGAAGGGGGAGGCGTTTGTTGAGATGGAATGATCAGTATTGACCAGGTGTTCAATTATTGCAGGCCTTATTGTCCCACTAGGGCCTTTTCGCAACCAGGATGCGCGTCGAACGACCAATGTAGCTGGATCCATAGCAGAAGGTGAACTGATATACGCACATAGAAGTGGTCACATAGTGGATCTTGTCTTTGAGGCTTCTGCAAATCAGTGGGCGACTGGAGAACACTATTCTTAGTGTTGCTGCAAAGAATGTTCTTCTCAGAGATGATGCGATCCTTCTCTTGAGAATATCACTTGCTAAATCTTCCTTGAAATACAAGTTCATATAGAGTTTCATTTTAGGCTCAAGTGAAGTTTCATTCCTCTAAATTCTTCATTTAATATTTTTGTCAATGAATCGTACTGGGTATCCATTTTGGATGAAAATTTCTCTCAAAATATTTAATTCTGTTTCTAGAACATCGGAACTACAGATGCGTCGGATGCGGGTGGCAAGTGATCTAATTAAATTCCGCTTTTGTTGAATGGGTACCCAGCTATAGAAGCTTGTTAGTTGATCACTTCAAGTAGCTTTTCTATGAATCGATCTTCTTAGGCTTCCATCAGTTCTTCTTGCTAGTTCCACATCAAGAAACGGAATTTTGTGATTCGTTTTCCATTTCAAGAGTGATCTTTAGATAGATTTTATAACACAAAACAACAAAATAAGGAGCTCTGAAACTCTTTTTAGTATTTCTCACCCATGACAGCGTCAGAGAGTGAACTGTGATACTGATGTAGTTGTACTTTCTGAGATGGACGACCAAACGTCTTCAGAGGTGAATTCATTAAGAAATTCAGCAACTTAGAATTTTCCACAAATCTACTGATCGTCTCTTTTGATGACTACCAACTTACTTGTTGTCTACGAAGCATTTCTCATTAGGAAATAACCAGGAAACCTTGAGATCATGTGCTGCATCTTTGCTGCGGTCGTGGATGGATCAACATTGCTGAAAAGTACTGAGCTAGGTCTAGATGACTGTCGAGTATTCAAAGATTTTCCCAGTGCTCAAGGATTTAGAAAATCTGTCCAGAAGATATGAAACTTACCGAACTAAAATCTCTACATGGCACCTTACTTGAAAACGGATATCCACGCAGATTAATTAATAAAAATATGAATAAAAAACCTTGACTTTCAAAAGTTGCAGCTGTTCCTAAGAGATTCCTCTTTATGAAGCTAGAATTCCAAGGTGATACTGAAGCAGTAACACTTAGAAAGTGCCTACCTAAATGTCTGAAGAAGACATTCCAAACAGTCACCTTAAGTATCACATTCTCCCGCAGGCAGTTAATCCAGTAAGGCTTTGAGGATAAGATACCGCTTTTAGCCACCTCAAAATGTATTTATCTGTTTACTTTTTCCAGTGCAGTAGAGTATATATCTGCCCTACACAATGTCTCGCCGACCACGCATGTGATCCAGAGTTTTATCCACGACAGCCAACGCATTCTCTCACCTCTTTAAGCTAGTGATAAGATAGTTAAGGAGGAAAGATTTGGCATGAGACCAACAACCCCATCCCGTGAAAATAAACCTTACTGCCACTGGAACTTCAGGCGTCTAGGTTGAATCCCTATGTTCCACTGGGAACGCCAATGAATAAAAAAAAACAATTTCAAGTCCACAAACCCATTCTGGAACAATGTTGAGCTCGGCTAGCCAAAGGAGGAAAGAAGAAAATACCAGTAGCACTGTCAGTGAACACCCTGTCAACTCTGAACATCTAGCCCTCCCACATGACTGCTTCACAGTGCTACACAGATTTTCTCACCGTCGCAAGAAAGGACAACATCGATACATAGCTGAATAATTGACTATTCAGGATCTGAAACTGGACGTCTACGTTCGAAAGCACAACATAAAATCACTTCCCTTAGAGCAGCCAGCGTCTGTATATCTATCTGTTTTCAAGTTAGAACCGATAGCACCGATGTGCAGCAACCAGAGTAATTTTCTTATTATAATTTCACCCCATTCTATTGTGAAAGTTTATTATTATTGTTATTATTATTATTTTATTATCGCGCTATTACTGTTGATAAATAAAACAGCGTTTTCATACGGATTTTTTATAAAAAAACACTTTATCGTATTTCCAATAGTTTTTGTCCACTTCATACAAGTGTACTGATCAATCACTTTTCATACTTATTACGTCATCTCAATTTCTGCCCCCTTTTTCTAATTTCAAATTAGTCATCCCCTTCTTGAGTACACCTTACATAATGTAATGCATTTTCTGGGACAAATTTACCATTATCTCATTGGTCGTCTTATGAATTCTTCGCTAGGGGATTTCATCATGAACTGATATCGGTTAGAGAATCACTAGAAAACCGGTTGGGAGTACCGGAAAGTGCCTGGGGCTCCTCAACACTACGCATCCACGAGGTGGGGTTCGAAGCCACCACCTTTCTTTAACAAGGCAAGCTCGTAGACTATTAGGCCACTGGGACCCAATCCAATGGCCAGCGTATGAATTCCAACTTCTGCCAATTGACCACATAGGGCGACCACTAGCCAAAGTCATCTGTGGTGAGTATTTATTCTCACGCCTGACATTCTGTATCCCACCAGTTCTAGTGAGATATCATGACCAGTGGGTACAGCAGGACGGGTGTGAAAACAGATACTCACCACAGATACCACTGGCTGGTGGTTGCGCTATGTCCTGAATCGGTAGAAGTTGGAATTAATAGTCTGACCATTGGATCAGGTCCCAGTGGGTTAATGGTCTACGAGCTAGCTCGCCTTGTAACCAGAAAGTCCTAGCGACGGGTGTGTACTGATGAAGAGTTCCAACCAATCAAACAAAATCCCTACAAGTTGAATACTGAAAAATTCCTCGAGTGTACAGCTCTTGGAAATGATTCATTGAAAAGGAAATTTCCTCCACTGTTCACATCTTTTTCCGCGAATGACTCAATATATACGAATATTTCGTCCATTAATCTCAATTTTATGATATTTTCCTCATTAAATTTTATTATTTTCCCCCTTTCTCCTATTACATTTCTACTTCTCATAATATCGATCTTAACTTGACCCCATTGCAGTTATTGGTTGAGCTCTACTCAGCACTCTTATATGATTTCTATTTGACTCACTGAGTTAAACTCACTATTAAGTTTCCAAATCTACTAAATTAAGTTATTTTATATATTTTATACAATTGATGAATGGTGGCTAGCAGTGGAATCCAGGATGCGCATTTCGTTCTAATTGGGACTCGTCAGCTAACGGATGTACCCGCATTTCCCAATGAGTGATGATGTTCCCACCACGGAGCCTCGAACCCAGTACCCATAGTTTCAAACGCCAAAGCGTTATCCACTAGACCACTTGGGCCACGAGAGCCACCTCTTGTGCAACGGGTCATATTAATTATTGAATTGAATTTTTTGATTTTCCCGTCGATTGATTGGACCGAAGTGTTCGGTCTCAGGTTGACATGTCGGCTTCTTGTGCAGATGCCTCGACGATGTCTGGGGATTTGATTTGTATACAATTGGTGGATGGTGGCTAGCAGTGGAATCCAGGATGGCGTTTGAAACTATGGACACTGGGTTCGAGCCTCCGTGGTGGGAACATCATCACTCACTGAGAAATGCAGGTACATCCAGCTGACGAGTCCCAAATAGGACGAAATGCGCCTTATCCTGGATTCCACTGCTAGCCACCATCCACCAATTGTATACAAATCAAATCCCCAGACATCGTCGAGGCATCTGCACAAGAAGCCGACATGTCAACCTGAGACCGAGCACTTTGGTCCAATCAATCAACGGGAAAATCAAAAAATTCAATTCAATAATTTTATAATTTTACTTCACTATTCACCCCAACACCACCCTCCTGAACTCTCCATCATAATGTATATAACTTCACACTCTTGATCTATTTTGTATTCTGTCTCTAGTCCATCCTTGTTTCCAAGAGAAATATGAATTTGACCCCACCCCTTGTCTAATTACTAACACTAAATAATCGTCGGCTTACATTATCTTTGAAATTATTAATTCTTATACATTCTATCTATAACTTGAAGTCATTGTAAAAAACAGTTTCAGAAAATTGTGTAACAACGTCAAAAAAACACCACATCCACTCCCTCATTCATACCACCTCACTGCATACAGACAACCACGGACATTAATTCCAATGGAACAACCAGCGTTCAAATATTAGAGGGAGGATACATCAAGAATTCTAGAGAATTTTTAGAAGGCTGCTTGGTATTCCAGTGAATCATCAATCAATAGATACATCGATATAGACAAAATTTACCTATTGATAAGAAAGAAACCTCACACACACACACAAAGGGTCAAAGTTCAAGTCAACGAAACAATCAGTTCCAATACAAACAACTTAGAAAATATGAAAACACACAAAAACAACCAAAGAGTCACGTCCAAGGTCACCCAGAGAAATGATTGATAAACTCGTGGAGAAATTTAAAACCTCACTTCAAATCGAAGTATGCACTGAAAATGTCGCCTAGTAATTGGGGCAATGAAATCTTCGTAAATAAACTATCCAACTAGCTCAGAGAACACAACCACAACAAAATCATCCACCTGAGCTACAAATCTTCTCAGTCATATCTAGAATTAAACTTACCTACAACTGTTGGTTCCAAGTCAACAAACACTGTACGCGGTACAAATTTCCCATGACCTGTTTCCATATAAAATGTACGAAATGAATTATCCGTTGGAAAGAATCCATCAATCATAAGTCCATCAGGTTTTATCCCATGCTCCATACCAAATAATTCCCAACAGGCATTACCCATTTGTATACCAGCTTGTCCAACATGTATACAAACAACTTCACGATCACCCTGGGTGGAATAAAAGTGTGACGAAAAGAAAGAAAACAGAAATTTTATTGTAAAAAATTATTATGGTGTCACATTCAGTCTCTACTTTCACAATTTTTTCAGAACAAAATATTTAGAGCGAAGAATTTTGGTTTCAATAAATCCGTCTTCTTCAGGCTCTACAATTAATTATAGATCTATTAATTAATTTAAGCATACAATAGCCAGCCACCCAGCCAGCCAGTAAAGGCAAATTAGAATCATATCAGAAGAAGATGGATTGTGGAACAAGTATAAGATGAGGTGGGGTGGATGGATGGATGGAATAATAGTCAGTTCGTTTTTTAATATGCATGGTCAATGAGGACATGAGATAAAATGAGATATATATATAGTTGGTGGATGGTGAATAACAATGGAACCCAGCATGCGCATTTCGTCCTATTTGGAACTCGTCATCTGGATGTACCTGCATTTCTCAGTGAGCGATGATGTTCCCACCGAGGCTCAAACCCAGTGCCCATAGTTTCAAACGCCAAGGAGCTATCCACTAGACCACTTGGGCCACAAGAGCTACCTCTTGTGCAACGGGTCATATTAATTATTGAATTGAATTTTAGATTTTCCCGTCGATTCATTGAATATATATAGTCAGCAAAAGCACAGGTTTCGAGAGTGAGTCTAATTAGGGTGTGTGAGACAATATGATAATAAACCAACGAAAGGGGCGGTCTAGACTTAAGTTCAAGGTTGAAAATAACGACAATAAGAATGAATGTGAAAGAATAACGATGATATGGTGTAAAATTACAAACACTATTGGTGAATGATTGTCAAATAATAATAATAATGAATATAATGAAGTGGAATGAACAGGATTTTGTAAATACGATAGCAAGTTAGAAAAGCACTATTTAAACCTAAGGTAATAAAATCATAAGAAAGGTCATGAAATCATAAGAGTCGAAGATGAACGTTTGTCAATGAAACAGAGGAATAGAAGAAGGAAAAGAAAAGAAAATTGTGATAGGAATTTATAGTGTTAATGGAGGGTTTGTTGGCTTTGTTGTAGGCCAAGGTAAACATAGAAATTGAACTTACTTCTTCTGTACGCAAAGAGATGGTCTTCTGGTATTGTGATTGCAACCGCTTCAGCTACTGATAGAAGACGTAGTCGAGCTCCACTAGATAAATTACCAGGAACGCGGTAAATAACTGAGAACGCATGGTCAAGTTTTTATCGGGTGTCCAGTATCTACCTGGTAGGCTAAGACTGAAATGTTTACGCATTTGGTTACCCCTTTACTCAACCATATAGGCACATGTTCACGTGCGCCCTTGGATAAAGCCCTCTGAGTACGGCCAATGTAACTAGCTCCAAATGACCAGTTGAATTCATAGATACACAGTGATGAGGCCATCATCTTTGGTAATTTATCCTTGACTTGATGTGTGAGTACTGGTTTAGTTGAGAAGTTGAGTACCAGTTTAGCTGCAGGAAATGTCCTATCTATTGCTCTATTAAGTCGATATTTTAGAATATCAGCTACAATTTCTTCTCTACGGTATCCACCTTTACTCTGTCTGTTGTAGGTATTGGCATATACTTTTTAGGAAGTTCTGTGGATATCCATTTTCTTGCAGTGTGAGTTTCAGCTTATACATTTCTTCCTTAATGCATTCCTCTAAGCATACACATTTTATTCTACAGCTAAGACGCTTAACTAACTTTCTTTTGTATTGAATCATTGTGAAGCTATGCAATTTTGTTAACTCGTGTATTCTATTTGTTCTTCTTGACTATTACCCCGCATTCTTTCCCGCGCTAAAATAAAACTCACTCTGAAACTGGAAAATGAGTCCAAAATCCCGTTTCTTGATGTGAAATTAACAAGGAAACCCGACAGAATCTTAAGAAGGTCATTCCATAGAAAACCTACTTGGAACGGTCGATTAACAAGTTTAATGTTGAACTAAAAGAGAAATCTAATTAAATCTCTTGCCACTCAGATCCAACGTCTTTGTAGTCCTGACATCCCATACTGCATCTTCTGAGAGAAACCTTTATCCAAAATGAATATCCACTTAGAATTTATCGACAAGAATATCAGACCAAAAGTTCAGAAGAACAAAACATTACAACTTCGAAGACAGAAACTGTATATGAACCTGCATTTCAAGGGGGGTTCAGCCTGCATGTAGTTCAGCGAAGAGTCTCTTTTCGGTGGCGGCGAATTCATTTTCTTAGCTGTACAATCGTAAATATATATGTGTGTGTTATTTTGTATGTATATGTTCATTAAGTTTGTCAAATGAAAATACAATTAGTTATGGTTATTTTAACTAAACAGGTGAAGATTGGTAATTGGAGTTACGTAATACGAAATCAGTCAAGAAAATTGGGTGTTAAGGAAATTAGGGTAGTAACAAAGGTGATGAGTTGTCGCAGACAGTTGTTAAAAGAAGTTACGTAATAATATGAATAGTTTGATGATTGTGTTTTACTCAGGATAAACATAGGAATAAAGTAGAGAATACGAAATTACGTAAGAGTTCTAAATGAATACAAGAATTATGAGCAATTAAAGAAACAAGCGAACAAGCAAAATTAAGTCATTAAAATCAACCAAGTTATCACCATGAGAGTAGAAATGGCTGAATAATTCTCTTTTGTATGCACAGCTCCGGTGTTTCTATGTAAATGACCAGAGCTTCGGCAATACAAAGAAGACGAAACCGTATTGCCTTTGGTAGATCATTCTTGACTCTGTGGATTACTTTGAAACAGGGGGTGTTTGTTGGAATGAAATGACCAGTGTTAACCAGGTGTTCAATTATCGCACTCCTAATTGCACCAATATTGCCTTTTCTGAACGATGGTGGACAGTATTCTTGACTCCTCTAAGATAGGATGTGCGTCGAACGACAGATGTACCTGGCTCCACAGTAGCAGATGAATTGATCTCTGAGAAGAACATGCTTAGCAGCAACACTAAGAATAGTGTTCTCCAGTCGCCAACTGATCTGCAGAAGCCTGAAGGACAAGATCCCGCATCTAACCCCTTCTGTGTGCATATATCAGTTCACCTGCTGCTGTGTAGCCAGTCAGGTACATCGGTCGTTCGATACGCCTTCTATCTAAAAGGAGTCAAGAATACTATCCACCATCGTTCAGAAAAGGTAATATTGGTGCAATTAGAAGCGCGATAATTGAACAACACCTGCTTAACACTGATCATTTCATTTCAACAAACACCCGCTGTTTCAAAGTAATCCACAGAGTCAAGAATGACCTACCAAAGGCAATACGCTTTCTTCTACATTGCATTGTTGAAATCTTAGCCATTCAGTTGGAAAAACCGGAGCTATGCATTCAAGCGAAAATTACCCAACCATTCCTACTCTCATGGTAAAAACCTTGTTGATTTCTACTCACTTTGTGTGCCTGTTTTTCTAACTCTTTATAACCTTTACATAGTTCCAAATTTCCCTTAGTTTCTTTGTACATTCTGATTACGAATCACTTACTAAATTATTCATCTTATTACGAAACTCTAAAACACTTATTCAACTTGTCTTTTGAAATGACTAACACCGACAACTATTTTTGGATAACTCATCACCACTACCCTTATACTAATCTTCACGCCTCCCCACCCCCTCAGTTACAATTCGACTATTCATCACGTTTTTGAAACATTTTGATGACATGAACAATAACCCTAACTAATTTATATTCTTATCTGACAAAGCCAATATACACACACACACAGAAAAATAATTCTATATAATTGAGATTGTACAGCTAAGTGGAATGAATTCGCCGGAAAGCGACTCTTCATTGAACTACGTGTTTTTTTATTGATTAAAAAAGATTTTGTAGACGCTAAAGTCTGTTGGTGGGGTGAATGGTGTGCCTCTAAGGAAACTCGTTAATAACTGTTGTAGTCAGACACTTTAACTCATTCAAGAAATCAACAAAAATCATCTCCAAGTATTGGTTTGTAGGGATTTTGTTTGATTGGTCGGTTACAAGATTTCATCATAAGCTGACACATCGGTTAAAGAACCATTGGAAAACCAGTCAGGGAGTATTGGACAGCTGTTTCATCAGCCTACGTTCAGACTCTTCAACAGTACACACCCGCCGCTAGGGTTCGAACCCAGGACCTTCTGGTTACAAGACCAGCTAGTTCGTAGAGCATTAAATTGCTGGGACCCAATCCATTGGCAAGCTCATGAATTCCAACTTCTGCCAATTCACGACATGGCGCAACCATTTAGCAATGTCTCTGATAAGTAACTGTCCTCTCTTTTGACCTGATTTACTCGACTGGTCACGGCTTTCCACTTGAACCCCAGACAAATACCTGCCCTTATAGAGCCAGTTGCTAGTGAGCATCTTGTCAGACTCCATACACTTTTATTATTGAAAAATTTCGCCTTGTATCTCTTCGTGCACGACAAGGAGGTACTATAAAAGATTGTAACTGTTTGACTAAATACAAAAAATGAATAAAACCTCCTTTGGTAGGCATTTTATGTGATGCATTAGGAGTTAGGCATGAAATTACTAACTTGATGTGAAACTGACTGACTGAATGAGTGAAATCTGATACAGAACTTTGTACAGAAGTTCAGCAGTCCAAGTTGCCACACTCCATCCACCGCACAAGCGTAGATAAAAGACAGAAAAGGAGGATTCACAAGTACTAAAATAGGAAGAAACATCAAGGATAAAGGACAGCAGGATAAAAAACACCAGGATTCAATCGATATGAGATTAAAAATAGTAAATTCATTTAAGCCAATGAGAATGATTTTGAGCCACATCTCAAACTGTCTCAAGCCATTGATTCTTAGCATTCTGAGGACACCAACAAGGCAGCCTACGCCTCTTTACATGGCTCAAACCAACTACCACGTGTTCCGTGGATTGATGTCAGGTTTTAGTTTCACCATCTCCAACTCTTCTCCAGCCTTTTCACACTTACAAACTCAAAAGTAGACGGAATCCAACTCACTTCTGAGTTAGAAAATCAACAGGGTGAACTGACCATGCTAGACTGTAGAATAGGACGAAAACAAGATGGTGGGCTCCGTCCTCCTTTATAGCTGTGAAAACTGGCCATTAAGAGTGGCAGATATGAAAAGATTAGCTGTCATTGAACATAGTTGCCCGCGTTCTATCTCCCGTGTGAAGCGGTATGATAGGGTGAGCAATATTGAGGTTAGGCGTCGAGTTCTAGGTAAACAGGGGAAATCGATCGATGAAGTTGTGAAGTTACATCGACTGAGATGGTTGGGACATGTATTACGTATGCCTAGTTATCGCCTTCCTCGACGAATGGGCAATGTTAGCTGACATAGGGTCAGGCTGGAAAAGAGCTAGCGGCGATCAAACCAAAAGATGGCTTCATCAATCAATGAAATCCACAACAGTTAGTTTAAGCTAGCCATGTAGGAAGGTGTAGACTCCCTGACTGGTTGGAGTCCTCTAGATGGTAAAAACCAATGAAGGTTGTAGACAATTGGTAATATGGCTCAAACTCATCGTTGTCAATGGCTGGTGCACAGATGCATCCACTCCTTGTGACTTATGATTTCCAATGAAACTCTACTGTTCCTCGTTACTGCTTTTCCTTTGTCTCACACCTCTGTTTACTGTCTCTCTTCTGCGTTTCTTCTACTTTCTTCTGTTGGTCTGTGTGATACAAGGAGGGAGTGTGACGACTTGAACTGTTGCACATCGGTGCAAAGTTCTACATCGAAAACAGACAGACAGACAGGTGAGCTAGATACTATCTGGCATTTATAAGAAACCAACACACTCTAATAAATACTTAGACTTTAATTCATCCCATCCAGAATCGGTGAAGGAGGATAGGTTTAGTTAAATGTCTGTTTATAATCGGGCCAAGAACCGAACTGGTAGGGTGAAAGATTTCAACAATGAAATCAAACAAATAAAGGAAGTACTACTAGTGAATAACCTACTACCCACCAGAATTTATTCAAAAATATATATGAAGAACCATAGAAACAAATAAGATTCGTAATGAAAATAACGAAAATAATATATAGAATTCAAAGCGTCTTCAATACTGCTGCCGTATAAAGAAGGAACGTCAGAAGCCTTATGTAGGATTCTGAATGAAGCTGGAATTAGGATGACAAACCAACCAACCAACAAAATCACACAGAGACAAACTTTTATAGGCTCAAGGAGACGAAAGAAATCCAATAAAGAAAAATAATATAATTTGCCAAATACGATGTAATGACTGTAAGTGAGGTCAATTACATACGCCATCGAACTAACAGGCGCCATCAGGTGCGATTAAAACCAAAAAATATCAATGACTTCACATTATTATTATTAATAACAATGTTCAATTTAACTTACCATTTTCAGTTGAATTTATTCTGGAGAATTTCTTCTTATTATTATTATCCACAAATTAGTTCAAGATTGATAAGGGGAGTAAATAAAATTATACACACGTATGTTAATCAAGTTTAATGTATCGTTCTCATTACTTCATTTAATTAGTAAGTATTTTATGTTATTACAATTATCATACACCCACTTTTCAAATAATCCTAGTTTTACAGATTGTTCAATAGCTAGAGATCGATAAATAAATATCTATTCACGCGAACTACTTACTTACTTATATAAGTAGTATAAAAGCATAAACTGAATAAGAGTTTGAATATGTTTCCACTGTTGATATTAAATGGTTGGAGGTAATCGGAAGGAGGCCTAATCCGACCTAGGCTTCATGCTAATAGTTGGCACTCAGTAGTCAGAAAGGCGTATTTGCAACCTTGCAGGAACTCATGTCTAGCGTCACCCAGTGCTGAAGTTAGAGACGTTACCACATTGGGCTATTCGGCTCGAATAGCTGGAATAGCTTGCAAACTGGGAGATATGCAAGTGAAAAGAAACAAGTTGGCAGAAGAAGCATCAAAGATAGGACTTCACGTGAACATAGATAAAACAGAGGTGATGAAGATTCCTAGCCAACATCAACAGCAACAACAACAACAGACAACAATCAGCATAAGTGGGAAGAACCTGAAAGAAACAACCTCCTTCACCTACCTGGGAAGCATCGTCTCAACTACAGGCGGACAGAACTGACGAGGATATCAAATCGAAGATCGGAAAAGCAAGACAAGCTTTCATTACTCACGTCAAGTCTGTGTGGAGGTCAACAGCACTCAGCATCAAAAATAAGATCCGGATTTTCGACTCCAATGTGAAGTCAGTCAGTGCTACTATACGGATCAGAGACGTGCACTGCGCGTAATAAAGAGCATCTCAAACAAACTTCAGACCTTCATTAACAGTTGTCTCCGCTCAATACTCAAGATCAGATGGCCGGCCAGAAAAGATCAGCAACCGTGAGGAATCTCTGGGAGAGAACCAACACAGCAGGAACCGATTGTGAAACAAATAGGCAGGAAGAAATGGAGATGGATTGGCCGGTCATACTCTGAGGAAACCATCAAGTGACATCACTAGACAATTCATCGCTCGAGTAGAACCCGAAAAGGAATCGGCGAGTTGTTCGTCGGTGCAAGGGTGACTTGGAGGAGGTGATGTGAAGAGGAGATGAAAGCATGTGGGCAGACTTGGAGAGGGGTGAAAAAGTTGGCAGAAAACCGAAGGCAACGGAGACGCGCAGCTGAAGCCCTATGTTCCTCTAGAAATTAAAGGATATAATAATAATATTCGGGCTCGTGATTGACCTCCACTGTAGGACTAAATTGGATACTCTAAATGAACATTAATAACTAGTGTGATGTGGCTAGTCTTTTATTTGGTGTAGACTGAATTCTACCAGTCGTCAGGTTTGCAATATGGCTAACATTCCAGGTCCTAGGTCCAGGATTTCCTACCGATTACTTCCAACTACCACCTAATATCATCACATCAATGTGCACTGTGATGGTGAGCTACTAAGAAAGGTGGCTACATTGCAAACCTGACGACTGACAGAATTCGGTCTGCACCAAAGAAAACAGTGGCCACATCACACTAGTTACTAGTGTCCAATCAAATGATTACACCGCATTATAATTTAATAATAAAAAAAATAATGTTGTTATTGTCTTGGGTCTCGAGTGGATTATATACGGCTTGAGCAGGATGTTTCCATTTCACGCTTTTCTCTGTAATCCTTCCCAGTCGGCTCCACGATCGCCTATAAGTTTCCGTCTCCTCCGTCATCGTTATCCATTCGGCTTCCAATGGCTCAAAACGTTGCTCAAATATCTCCTCAGCGTGCATCAACTTCATCTCCATTTTCCTCGCCTTATCTACTGACCCACAGATTGATGGTTGATCAGCTTCCTGAACAACGAATTAAACGGTCAACTGCTAACTTGCCACGGGTGTTTTTATCTCTAAACTTTTAAATGTAGCGGAAAACCCGGCTATAATCATGAATTCAAGCAAGAACTTCTTGTACAGAAGAAGCGTGTGCAATCTATATTTCTATCTTGACCCTACGGTCAGATTTTGTTTATTTAATCAATCTGTGTGTATTATATATTATTATTATTGTATCCTTTAGTTCCTAGAGGAACATAGGGCTTCAGCTGCGCGTCTCCGTTGCCTTCGGTTTTCTGCCAACTTTTTCACCCCGCTCCAAATCTGCCCACATGCTTTCATCTCCTCTTCACATCACCTCCTCCAAGTCACCCTTGCACCGACGAACAACTCGCCGATTCCTTTTCGGGTTCTACTCGAGCGATGAATTGTCTAGTGATGTCACTTGATGGTTTCCTCAGAGTATGACCGGCCAATCCATCTCCATTTCTTCCTGCCTATTTGTTTCACAATCGGTTCCTGCTGTGTTGGTTCTCTCCCAGAGATTCCTCACGGTTGCTGATCTTTTCTGGCCGGCCATCTGATCTTGAGTATTGAGCGGAGACAACTGTTAATGAAGGTCTGAAGTTTGTTTGAGATGCTCTTTATTACGCGCAGTGCACGTCTCTGATCCGTATAGTAGCACTGACTGACTTCACATTGGAGTCGAAAATCCGGATCTTATTTTTGATGCTGAGTGCTGTTGACCTCCACACAGACTTGACGTGAGTAATGAAAGCTTGTCTTGCTTTTCCGATCTTCGATTTGATATCCTCGTCAGTTCTGTCCGCCTGTAGTTGAGACGATGCTTCCCAGGTAGGTGAAGGAGGTTGTTTCTTTCAGGTTCTTCCCACTTATGCTGATTGTTGTCTGTTGTTGTTGTTGCTGTTGATGTTGGCTAGGAATCTTCATCACCTCTGTTTTATCTATGTTCACGTGAAGTCCTATCTTTGATGCTTCTTCTGCCAACTTGTTACTTTTCACTTGCATATCTTCCAGTTTATGGGAAATCAGACATATATCATCGGCGAAATCCAGATCCTCCAAGTCTTTTGTGTCAGTCCATTTTATGCCTGTTCCCTCGTTGGTTGTCGTTGTCTGTCGCATTATCCAATCAATTGCAATCAGGAAGATCATTGGTGATAGTAGACAGCCTTATTACTACAACTATCAATATTATTATTCTTGTCACGCCTAGAAACCGGTACCTTGCTGCAACATATACAAGAAACGAATGTATACCTAAGATATGTTGATGACATTTTTATTGTCTGTGGAAGCAGATCAAAAGCTGAAGATATGTTGATTAAAATTCAACTCATACCACCTGAATCTCAGTTTCACAATAGAACACGAGAAAAACGATATTATTTAATTCCTAGACGTTTTTCTAGCCAAAATGTATGATGGCACAATCGAAAGATCCATATGTAGAAAGTCTTCATGGACAGGACAGTATATGTATTTCAAAAGCTTTGTTCCAATGTCGTATAGAAAAGAAGAACTTAGTCAGAACACTGTTCAACAGAGCGCGGAAAATTTGTTTTAACAGCACTATTGAGCATGAAATAAAATCTCTGAAGGATATTTTATCTAAGAACGGATATCCTGAGAAGTTCATAATAAGTACCCTAAAGAAATTAGCCCCTGTAAAACAATCCAAACAGTTCCGAAGAAATCTGTCTATATCAGTTTGTCATTCAAAGGAGACGATGTACAGGAAGTAGTCAAACCAAGACTGGATGAAGCTATCAAGAGAACTTACTATACTGCAAAACTCATTTTCCTTGACACCACGAAGCGAGTGCTTCAACAATCTGGGAAAGACCAGTCTCCAATCCTTGACACTTCAAGCTGCGTATATCAGTTTGAGTGTGTTTGTGGAAGCAAATACATAGGTCGTACAGAAAGGTGATTGTCTACTCGATTGATGGAGCATTCGCCAAAATGGTTGAAAACAGGTGAGTGCAAAGTCCCAAAATCCTGAATAACAAAACATCTCGTGGATTACGGACATGATATCAACGCGGTCAAGTCATTCACCATTGTCAGTAAACAAAGAAACAAGAAGATGCTTGCAATTGCAGAGTCTTGTGCAATTCGAATTTACAAACCAGATCTCTGAATACAAAAGGAGATGGTCGTGACTCTGAATCTACCATGGTAATACGTTTTACTTATTATTCTCTACTTGTTATTACTATTATTCTACCTCTTCTTCTTACTATTATTGTTATTATTATCATTATTATTATTCTTGATTCATTTAAATCTATGCTTTATCCGTAAGATTATCTTAACTCACTTCAACACTATTATTATTATTATAACTATTACTATTGATATTAGTCTGTTTGCAATTCTCGTTATATTCTCTAATGTCTAATTGTTTATCTAAGTGTTGTAATTGAAGCGTAATGCAATACACCTTAATTTTGATCTTTCATACTCTCTCTCCCCTTATCTACCTAAAAACATGACCTGGAAAACATTCGCACTTGTCTTTCTGCATGACTAATTCAATGTAGTTTGTTTACTTATCAGTCACTCATATATCTCTCAATGTAATTTCAACGGTATATATATCCGTGTATGTAGAGTATTCAGCTGACGAGTTCTACCAAAATTTGATGAACTCATTAAATCCTGCTTTATTAACCTTTATTGCTCGTTTTAAATATTATTATTATTATTCTCACTTTGAACCCTTTCTGATGATTATTTCATCTGTCTTATTGATTATTTCAGACTAATAATCTTTTGTAATGTTAAATTTTATCTTATCAAACTTCACATCATGTTACGTAATGTAATATAATCCTATAAAACTACATACACCCCATCTCAATACTCTATACACTCTGTGAGCTATTGATATAAGAATAAAATTCTCAACTTAGTCAAACCATGAGTCATTTTGACATTTATAAAAGATACGTAGACGACACTTTAGTCATCTGAGATAATAACGTAGTTCTTGATGATGTCTTATTTGCTTTCAACAACAGCCATCCTTCTTTACAATTCACCATAGAAAAGGAATCTGAACTTTTTCTTGATGTGTGCCTCAGCAGACGTAATAACGGATCTCTCAAAAGATCCATCCACCGGAAACGTACATGGAACGGACAACTAACTAATTTTTACAGTTGGGTGTCTATTTACAGGAAAAGGAACTTAATTCACTCACTCTGCTTTAGGATAAGGAAAATTTGTAGTTCTGATTGCGTTGACTTGACTTCTTGAAAGCCACATTCACAGAAAACGGTTATCCTAACCGATTTATTGACAGTAGCATGAAATATAAGCAGTCTAAACTGGTCACCGACTAAGTTCCAAAGAAAACCTTATTC